CAAAAGAGGCCTGGAAAGGGCCCTTCCCCCACCCTTTGACTGACAGAGCCAGTTAGAAGCCCCCCCCCCCCCAACATTCTAATCTCTCATCGTTGATGCCTGAAGCAGATCCCTGCAGAGGCCATTTCAAAAGGTTTTTTGTGGGGGATTCTGTTATGTCTTTATCTGTATTACATTCCATGAAAGACCTTAAGACCTGGACAAGGATTGTAAGCTGGAACAATCCTATTGGCTAATGTACAAATGTACCCAATCAGAGTGCAGAGAAATGTTCAGGAGGGAACTGATCTGATTGGATGTTATCTTTGTAATGCCATTGATCTTTAACTGTTCTAGGGCATGGCTACACCAGCCCGGGATAGTTTAAAAGGAGCCCTGCTCCACTGTTTGTTGTCGTGTGTTCTTCACTGTTCCTGTTTGAAACCAATAAAGCTGATTCACTGTTACTTATGAGATGGCGTTGAGTCAATACTTAACCATCCCTGAAGGGATTTTTTTAGTTTTTGGATTTTTCTACAAACCCAGGAAGTCTACTGACTATGTAGGAAAAGTTGTTGGGGGAGAGTGAGACCCCTGTTGATGGAAATAAGTATCAGCACATTTTGGCTATTAGTATAAAAATAATAAATCCTCTATCTCCTGGCATTTTTTCCATTTTGTTCTGAACTGTGAAACAAACACTCTGGATATCCATGTTTGGTGGCTGAGGCCTGCCTCCTCTTCTCCCCCTGAGATTCGTTGTAATTTCAAGAGTCTTTGGTATGCAGGGGAAGCACAAGGTCATGGCTCAGTGGCAAAGCAATCCCCATCACTTCCAGTTAAAAGAATCAGATATTGATTAGGTGATAGAAAAGACCTTTACCTGCTTCTAGTTAGAATAGTGAATACTGACTTTGATAGGTCAATGATCTGACTCTGTAAGCAACTTCATTTGTGTGTGCAAGAGAGAAGCTGCACCTAATTCAATCATAACTGTGAAGGCCAGTCTGGGGCAGGGGGGAGGGGAGCAACCAAGGACCAGCACTGAGAAGTCATCAGTCCAAAATAAATAACTTTATCAGTGGGCATTTTGCCACAAAATACCCTCCCTGCCATCATTATTATATCCTCTTGTTTACCTCTTTGGCTGAACTTGCCTAACTATCATTATATCAAACTCGGGCCCTAATTTGCCACGGATTTCCAACATTTCTGTCTTGAATACCTGTACTGCATCTTCATTGCTCTGTTACATTTGCTTTGGGGAAAGTGTGTGTGTGTGTATGTGGGGGGACTGCTTTGCTGCACTAACTTGTAACTGTGTTCCATGTGGGGCCTCCCAACGGTAGGAAGAATGCACAATGACCTTGAGTACCAGACTCTGCTTGCCGGCTTCAGTAGATAATGTAACCCTAGGCTCACAGGTGGTGGAGGAGGGCTAATGAAACGCAGTAGATTTAGGTGAGTTGAATGAATGGGCTGATTGGACTGGTCACTGGGGGGTGAGGTTGAATCATGTATAATTGCAGAACTGGCCCCAAAGGGGTCAGTTCTGACACAGGTCTGTCCACGCTTAAATAAATAAATGAATCTCTTAATCTCTCAATAAACAAATCATTGCCAAGAGAGTGTTGTTGAGAGTGAGTTCCTTCAAGACATGTCCATTACATGCTCATATTTTCCAGCCAGCCATCTTCAAGCCCCAGTGACCACCTTCTGTACAGTTTGAATTTGTCCCTGGCTTCCTTCCTTGTAGGACTAACTCAGTTCTATCCCTTAAATACAGTGAAGATCTACACCTGGGCCTGATTCTGCCCTCTTTATTTCCAGTACTAAAAGGGACCATGGTGAACCAGAAGATTGAAAAAATACAACACCATGTAAGGTGAACAAACAATTATAACAATAATAACAATGACAACTGGCACACTGTTATATTCAATATACATTAACAATTCCAAAAAGCCAATTTCCAAGGCACAAGGAGCATATAAATACACCAGGTGGCGTTCTCATAACTCCGGTCTCTCTGTTTTTTCTTCTTTTAGAAGATTGAACCAGTCAACACGCTATACTGGACTGTAAGCAGTCAGGAAGTTTGACTGAAACCGCTTGCATTCTGGTATAGCGTGTTGACTGCTTCAATCTTCTAAAAGAAGAAAAAACAAAGAGACTTGAGTTGAGAGAACTAACGCCACCTGGTGTATTTATATGCTCACTGTGCCTTGGAAACTGACTATTTCCAAGACTAAGAAGAAAAGGAGAAAAGTGTGACTTTCACTGAATCTGAGACCACCCATCTCTTGAAAGCTGCTGAAGCTCCCATGCCACTTGGTCACAAAGAATGGCTCTGCTTTCCCTCCTTGGATTTA